TGACATAACCAGAATGTGTCATCAGTGTTTGACCATTAGCTGCTACTGTTTCTTGCTGCACCATATCACTATGTTCAGCTGCTCCTTTAGAGAGACACATATTCAAACATTTAAAGTTGTACCATGAAGAATGATATGTTACATGGAATTAAGTCAGAATTTTGCCAGGCTCTAGAGGGGTAGTACTTTTTCCATTATTTCTTCATTAGAATATCATTCCAATGAAGGAATAATATTGTGCCAAGTTGAATGGTTCATCCCCAAGACATATTTGTTGATATGTTATTTGAACCTCTGAAATTCGAGTCTCAAATTTATTTACTTATTGGTTGAAAACTGAAAGTGTAATAGCTATGTTTGAAATCACATTACCATATTAAATTTAGGCTTTATATAGCTCTAGTGGGAATGAATAAATATTATGTTTTCTGAACTATTGTCCATGATCCATAGTAGAAATGTTATACATTTATTATATATTTGATAGAACTAGAAGTCATCATATGGAGATGGAATAATAGAAAAGGCAGCATAACATAGTAGTTAAGAGGATGGACCCTGGAACCAGACTGCTTAGATTAACATTCTTGTCTTGCCACTTACCAGCTGAGTGACTTGAGCTGCTACTTAACCTCTTTGTCATCAGTTTTCCTATCTGAAAATGGTGATAATAAGAGTCTGAAAATAGTATATTTCCTGTCAGGTAGTTACAAGGGTTAAATAGGTTATTATTATTATTTTTTTGAGACTTTGTCACCCAGTCTGGAGTGCAGTGGCATGAACTCAGCTTACGGCCACCTCCACCTCCCAGGCTCAAGAGATCCTCCTGCCTCAGCCTCCCAAGTGACTAGGCATACAGGCATCTACCACCACACCCAGCTAATTTTTATAATTTTTTTTGGTAGAGACAGGATGTCGTCATGTTGTCAAGGGTGATCTTGAACCCCTTGGCTCAAGCAGTCTGCCTGCTTCAGCCTCCCAAGGTGCTGGGATTACAGCTATAAGCCACCATGCCTAGACAAACAGGTTAATATTTATAAAGCACTTGTAGCAGTGCCTGGTATGTACTAGGTGCTGTAGATGTTTTGATTAAATAAGATAGATGGGCATCAAGCTTGACAGAGTTTTATAAGTATACCTGTCTTGCCTTTAAAATACACTTAGCTACAGAAAATATTCTTTTTTTAGAAACTTGTCTTTCTATTATCTTTTATAAATATAATGAATTGAAAACTAGTATATCCAAAATAGTGTACTTTTACTCTTTGAATAACTAGATTGTGTTACTTCATGAGAATTTTCAACTGATTATGTTTGTCATACCAATTTGAACAACACTTTTAAGCCACATGTAGATTTCAAGGTCTCTAAATTTTTCATTAGAGAATATAGTATTTACAAAAAACATGTAGCTGTTTTGGTTGGTGGTGACTGGAAATATTTCTTGATAGTAGTTTATTAGTGCCCATACTGCTTGGAAATGCTAGCATGTATTACATAGATTTATTTTCAAATGGTAATAATCGTACTTATATAGTACTAATATTTTGCGTCAGTAGGTTTTGAAATTTTGACTGTGAGACTTTTGTGCAAACCTTTGCTATTCATAGTTTCAAGTAATTTTAAAGTTTGGTCTGTATTTTAAACCAATTACTTAGATAGCTAGAGCTATACAGCAATATTAGGTAGACATTTTCTTCTAATAATTACTAAGGTACAAAAGAAAAACAAGAAGCTCTAATAAGTACAAAGTACATTAATATATATGTTTTAAAACATTACAACAGGTAATTCATTTTTATAACATATTTAATTAATTCTGAAATATACATAGTAAAAAGTTAAATACTTACCACTCCTTTACCAATCATCATTTCCATTTTTCCGTCCTCAGAGGTACTCTGTCAAAGGCTTGCTTTTTTACTCTTCTATAACTTTTTCTATGTGTGGGAAGACAAATAAAACTCAATATATTGTTTCAAAAACATATTTGGATTATACCAAACATATGTTTGAGTTTTTTCACTTCTTGAGTTACCAAAAATATGCCTTTAGTCATATAACTGTACCTCATCTTTAAATGGTTGAATTATAATCTTTATTGCAAATATTCCCAAATCGGCTGTTTCTTTTTTGATGGACAGATAAATTGTTTAGCATATTTCCTCTCGTCTTCTCTCCTTCCCTTTCTTTCTTTTTTGCTATTGCAGATATTTCCACTGATGCTGAATATCTTTTATAAATTGTGTGCATGAACCCTCACATCTTTTAATTTTCCATAGCATATTCTTATAAATGGGATTATTTTATAAAACAAGCATGTTTGAATTTTTTTTTTTTCTTTTGAAACAGTCTCACTCTGTTGCCCAGGCTGGAATGCTGTGGTACAGTCTTGGCCCACTGTAGCCTTGACCTCCTGGGCTTAAGCAATTCTCCTGTCTCACCTATCCGAGTAGCTTGGATTACAGGTGTGTGTCACCACACCTGGCTTTTTTTTTTTTTTTCTTTTTTTCTTGGTATTTTTAGTAGGGAGGGGGTTTTACCATGTTAGCCAGGCTGGTATCGAACACCTGACTCTCAATGATCCAACTGCTTCAACCTCCCCAAGCACTAAGATTATAGGTATGAGCCACCCACCATGGCTGGCATGTTTAAATTTGTAACAGTTATAAATTGCCCTCTGTTGCAATTCAATTCTATACAGCATACCTATTTTCCCCATATATAAAACATTCTCACAAGAGACTTCAACAATGACAACTTTTGTAGTTACAAAAATTAACTCTTTAAAATGTTTGCCAGTGTAACAGATGAAAACTATGTCTGATTGTTGGATATCTGATATCTTAATTTTTATTTCTTTGTTAGCAAAGTTGAGCATTTAAAACATAAGTTTACTAGCCAAATATTTTTTCTGTAAATTAACTATTCGTATTCTTTTCTATTTTCATATAGTTGTTTATCTCTTTGACACCTTATATCTTTATTTGGATGGCTAATGGAAATCTCAGTTTAAGACATCTAAAACTAAGTTTCCTTTCCTCTCAAATGTACTTTTCCTACAACTCTGTTCTTCCAGTCGCTCAGTCCTAATACCTTGGAGTCATCTTTGCTTCCTCTCCTACTATACATCTAATCCATCAGTAAGTCGTATTGGCAATATCTTTGAAATGGATACAGCGTTTCAGCACTTCTTGCCACCTTGTTGCTTCTACCATTCCTTACAACCTGTCTTGCTTTTTCAACACTTAATCCATGCAGTATATTTTTTGCATAGCAGCCAGAGAAGTTTTTTCATAGTGCATATTCAGCAGTGCCATGACTATATTCAGAATCTGTCATTCTGTTCCAGTTTCCTCAAGTAAAAACCATCTCCTTACTAAAACCTACATGAGCCCTGTATGATCTGGTCCCTATATTGCTCTAACCTCATCTCCTACTTTTCTCACCCTTACTCACTTTGCTCAACCCATCTTTGCTTCCATATTTTGCTTGAAAATCCCAAGCATACCTCTAACCAGGCTTTTGTTGTTTTTGTTTCATCTGCCTACGATAATGCTCTGCCCCATGAGTTCTACATGGATCTCTTCCAAACTGGTTTGTTTTAATAAACATTATTTAAAATTTCTGATATTCACAATGTCATCATATATGACATTATAACTATGAGAAAGAAAAAGGCCATTCTTCATGCCCTTAAGGTATTTAAAATATAGTATCAATGCTCATATATTAACCAAGTTGCAGGGAGAGGGGAAGTATAGTGGATATGGCAACTAGTCGTTCTCTTAGTGGTACTATGGTACTATTTATTTTGGAGAGCATAATAGAATCTTCAAATTTAATTTATTTATATCTGACTTATTTATTTTATGCTACTTTAGAAGTACCTAACATACTACATATAAATTATGTATTTGCATTAACATAAGATGTATTATATAAATGTATCTGTTCAGTTTTAAATCAATCTGTTTAGTTTTAATACATTATTATAAATTACTCAATTGTTTAAAATAATTCCTGAAACCTTTCATCATGAAAACATGGTTGAAGTCCTCTAATTTCTGTACTTTGGATGAACAAAATTTTAAATAATATAGAGATTGGAAGATCACATTTCATTTTATTAAAAAATCTTCCTTTTATGTAATCACATACCTCTTTTGGTTATTACCAAAATCACTTCTTTCCCCCCTAAGACGGAGTCTCACTCTGTCACCCAGGCAGTAGTGGTACAATCTCAGCTCATTGCAGCCTCTGCCTTCCTGGTTCAAGTGATTCGCCTGCCTCAGCCTCCCAAGTAGCTGGCATTACAGGCACCTGTCACCATGCCTGGCCAATTTTTGTATTTTTAGTAGAAGCGGGGTTTTACCATGTTGGCCAGGTTTGTCTCAAACTTCTGACCATAAATGATCTGCCTGACTTGGCCTCCCAAAGTGCTGGGATTACAGGTGTGAGCCAATGTGCCTGGCCAGAATCACTTTTTAAAACTGAGAGATTATGTGGGTAACCTTTTGTTATCAGGAACATTTACATATGGGAAGACTCACTTTCTATCAATTTTGGGTGAATCAAGTGCTTGTAGTTGAATTTCTGTTGTCTTTTTTTCCCAAGAAAATAAATTATTGATGTATTACCTTTATACTGAAAATTTGACAAGTTGTTATTGCTTAATGAATTCTTACAAAGTGAATACATGTATGTAATTAATAAATAGACCATTACTATAACTTCATAAGTCTACTTCCCAGTCGCTAATCCTGACAAGAGTGAACAAGAGTGAATGCTATCCTGACTTCTAACAAATTAGGCCTACTTATTTTTGAATACTTACAAAAATCAGTAATTATATAAGAGAAAATGATCTAAAATAATTTGTAACCTCATATAAAAAGTATAATTTTAAGCAAGAAAATAATCTTAAAAATACTTTTGGCATATTTTTGTGAGATTGTAAGGTATGTTTCTATTAAATAATTAGCCATTCTTATACTTAGAATCCCGCCCATTGTCAGTTCCTGTTAAAGCTGTGTTGAATATATCTGAAGGCTGTAGAAGTCCTGAAGAAAGAATGAAGGAATTTATTGGAATAGTTTGGAATGCAGTGAAGCATCTCACACTACAGGTAAAATAAAAGTTAGAAATATTATGGATCTAATTTCTATAATCCTTTTTAATTCCCAGCATTGTTAATATTGGTAAGACTTTTCTCACATGTAACAATTATGTATACCATCTCATTTTCATAATTTAGTTGAAAATAATTGGTGTACTTCACTTACCGTAAAATAACTTTATGAAACTCGTATGATCTTCCTTATAGTTATTAGAATATACACATTTTGAGATGTTCCTTGAATTAAAATATTTTGGTTAATTCTACTTTTTGTTTAAGCATTATTTTTACAATTTTAAATGCTTAATGTACATATAGATTCATTCATATCTCAGTACTGAGATAAAGTCTGAGTTGGAATTAACATGAAAGAGTTATCTAATTGTTTTCCCTCCCTAATTATAAGTTAAATATGAAAATTGGCTGGCCATGGTGGCTCAGGCCTGTAATCCCAGCACTTTGGGAGGCTGAGGTGGGCAGATCACGAGATCAGGAGATTAAGACCATCTTGGCCAACCAACATGGTGAAACCCTGTCTCTACTAAAAATACAAAAATTAGCTGTGTGTGGTGGTGCACACCTGCAGTTTCAGCTAATCGGGAGGCTGAGGCAGGAGAATCACTTGAACCCAGGAGGCGGAGGTTATAGTCAGCCAAGATTGTGCCACTACACTCCAGCCTGGCAATAGAGCAATAATCTGTGAAAAAAAAAATAAATAAATAAAGGGAGAAGAAAATTATAATGATAGCTATTTTCTTATTGTTATTCAATTTTCTTCTCATCTATTTTTACTTTAAAATGCACAATTTTATCTTGTTGAATTACTTTCCTTCAAGACTATGTTTAGCCTGACGAAAATATACAATTAGATGCTTATTTGATAAGCTTACAGTTATAAATTTTAGTTTTTGCATAGGATTTTTTCTCTGTGATACCATAGGCATGCTTATAGGATTTTATATGTACCAGATAGTAATATCAAAGGCTTAAGTCAATGCCTTTCACTTTGACTTAAGATATAAAAGTTGCAATAGAAAGTTGTTTCCACCTTAACTATGAGAACAAGGCTTTATGATCTATAAAATTATAGCTATATTAAGCTCATAGAGATATGAGGTCTTAAATTGACATTACTGTAGAAGCAGTGGGCTAAAATCCAAAAAAAAAAAAAAGTGACAAGCAAATCACTTTTTGAAATCTGGGCATCTCAGAATACTTCAAGAAGAATATATAAAAAGGAGAACATAGCTAAGCACCTAGTAGTCAAACTACTGAATACTTAAGATAAGGAGAGCATTTTATTTTATTTTATTTAAAGTGGTAAGATCTTTATGTATAAATACTCTTGTTTACCAGAAGACTATCCTGGAAGAGGTTGAAAGTAGAGATAAGGCAGACCTAGGTATGTATTTCTTAGCAATATGATATTGGGGAGTTTCTTCTTGTTTCTATGTCCACAAATTGGAGATTATAATGTCTTCTTCATGAAGAGGGTGGAAAATATAGAGTGATAAAGTATATGAAAGCAACTAACAAAATTTATTCATTTATTGATTCATTTTGCAAAAGTTAATGTACTGTATTCAAAGAACATACTGAAGAAAGGCAATGCAGTCCTGCCCTCATGGAGATCATAGTTTGGCAAGGAGAACATTCATTAAATTATTGTACTTAAAATAATTTGAGTATAATGACGATAATTCTCCTGTATGAACTTATGTGTCAGTTAAGCTAACCCTAGAAGAATCAGGAAACATTTGGGTACTCAATAACTTGTGTTTTCTTTCTTCATTCTTTCTCTCCTGTAGCTGTAGCTTTTCTCTAAAGCAGCTAACGACTGCACTGCCCTTCAGCAGGCAGACAAAAAGTGATGGAGTTAACACCCCTAGTGTTACCTTCACCTACCATGGAGATGATTCTACAGCATTCCTTTTCTGTCAGTGTGTCCTCAGTAGAATTAAGCTATAGATGTCCAGGGCTTGCCAACACACCATTTTAGTTACTGTCCTTTTGAGAAAATTTTAAAAGCAGGTAGACAGTAAAGGCATGTTATATATAGATTAACAGTATTAAAAATAATTCCTTACATCTTATTAGAAACAATGGAAACCAGAAGACAATTGAATAACACCTTTTTATGTGCTACGGAAAATCAGCATGTAACATAGAATTCTTTAGTCAGCAAAATATTCATCAAAAATGGTGGCTAATAAATACATAAAGACAGAACTTTTCTCCAATAGAAATTTACTGAAAGATGTCCTGAAAGAAGTTATTTAGGTTGAAAGGAAATTATAACAGATAGAATATTGTTTTTTTAGAAATTAATGAAGTATATAAGAAAGTATCTATGTGTTGGAAAATAACTATATTGAAAAAAACAGTATTCAAGGAGAAAGTTTTAGTATGTTTTAGCCTTTTGGCTATTAGCTTTTTTCCTCTTTATTTTCCAATTATTTATTTTATTTTATTTTTGAGACAGAATCTCACTCTGTCGCCCTGAGCCACTGCGCTCAGCCTTAGTTAAATTTAATGTTAAAAATATGTGGCACTTGGCTGGGTGTGGTGGCTCACGCCTGTAATCCCAGCACTTTGGGAGGCCAAAGCAGGTGGATCACCTGAGGTCAGGAGTTTGAGGCCAACCTGGCCAACACCTTTCTACTGAAATACAAAAAAATTAGCTGTGCGTGGCGATATGCACCTGTAATCCCTTCTACTTGGGAGGCTGAGGCAGGGGAATTGCTTGAACCAGGGAGGCCAAGGTTGCAGTGAGCTGAGTTCATGCCATTGCACTCTAGCCTAGACAGCAGAGTGAGACTCTGTCTCCAAAAAAAAAAAAAAAAAAAAAAAAGAAAAAAAAAAAAAAAAAGTGGCACTTAATAAAGGAGATTTGATTAAGTTCAAAATTTAGCAGTTGAATGAAATTTCAATTATTTATTCAGAAAATATTTATGAAATCCGTAGTCTGTCCTACACTCCAGCTAGCCCTTCATCCTACAAATGTGAAGAAATTGTCTCTGTGAGCAACTAAAGCAACTACTAGAGTGAGTCTGGAAGTGTATTCTTCCCCAGGTGAGCCTCTGGATGAAAACACAGATGGTCAGTACTTTTACTGCAGCTTTTTGAGTCCATAATTCAAGTATTTAAGCCATGCCCAGACTGTTGACCCACAGAAACTACAAGATTGCTAAACCATACCCATATTATTGACCCACAGAAACTGCAACAAATGTCTGTTGTATTGGGCTGTTATATTTGTGGAGATTTCTTATATAGCATAGAAAATGAATACTGATGGTTATAGACACATTATGCATAGCTATAGTGTAGTCTAATCCCTATAATAAATACATACTTGTCATAAAGACTTTTTGGAAATCATCCAAAACATTTCCAGTTCATAAAAATACTACTTAATATAAGAGCCAATAACCTTGATTTTAGCAGTCCTTTACAGTGTTTATTTTCTGAGCATGCTGCTTGTAAGAAAGTTAAGAGAAGAATGGGAGGAAGAAAGTGTGGCTTGTCATTCTTTTGTTATGGTTTTTAACTCTTAGTTTGCAGAAATATGACTGTTTTAGTGACATCAGCTATATTTCACCAATCTCAGCCATCATGAATCCGTTTAATAAATATCCTAATAACTCCTTATGTTGACTTACCTGTCCTTCTCCCCTAGAGATAGCCATTGTACAGTGGTGACATCCAGCACTTAATTTTTGTTAGGTGTTAGGCTATATTCTGAGAAAACAGAAGAGACATAATAGATGTCATGGTCTAGCTGGGAAAAGGCTAAGTGCCATGGTATGAGGTATCTTATAGGGAGCCCCTTAGAAAACTTAATAACAAAAAAAAGAGAAATGGGAATGTCAAGAGGAATGTTACTTACTGAAAGGATGCCTAGGGCTTGTATTTAGATACTATCCTAGGTGGATATTTATTGCTTTGTGGAAGATGAAGTTGACACCATTGTATGGTTTAGAATATGATAGCTACCAATAATATTTAGTTGTTTAAAGTTTACTGTAGTCCTAAATGTTATTTCATGATAATAGAAGTAGTTATATTAAAAATAACCTCATTCCCTCTTATCTATCATATAAATAATTGAATAAGGTGGTATAATTATCTTTTTATTGATATCATTTTGAATGGTTCTGCAATAGAGAACATGAAAGATAGTATTGGGTTACATGATTGACAGCTCTAGGAAAATATTTCAATTTGAGATTCCAAGTAAAATAAAAAATCTTTACACTATAAACTAGTAGCTATATCGGTATTCTACAATATACGATATACTGGAGGATGTCTTTCTCTGGCTGGGATTAAGTAACAGGAACCAGATTTATTCCACTGCCTGAAATAAGCAAAAAACTACTGAAATATAACACAAAGGTTTCAAACCACTAGGCAATAAGCCAAGTGGACAGTGATTCCTGAGAGACTTAAGATAAAATCAGCAGGACTTAGTAATTAATTGATTTGGGGAATAAGGGATCAGAGTCTAAGAGGTCTTCTAGGTTCTAGATTTGGTGTGTGGGTGGCAGTGATGCTATTAAATGAAGCAGCTTTTCTGGTTTAGGGGCAAATAGGGATTTTGAATTTACATATGTATTTTAAATGTATGTGAGACATCCAGGTATCTAGTAGATATTTATATCTGGAGTTTAAGACAAGATTAAGAGAAGAGATAATAATTTTAGGAGTTATCTACAGATGGTTTTCAAACCAGGAGAATGGGTAATTCAAGCAAGCATGTAAAGTTGAAAGAGCATTGGGCCAAGGGATTACCATTTTAAAAGTAGTGGAAGAGAGAACGTCCTTGAAGAAATTATTCTAGTGATCAGAAGTGGAGGAGGAGAAACCAGAGAGTTCATGAAAGCACAAAATGCATAGAATTTTAAGTAACTAGTGGTCAGCAATGTCAAATTCTAGGTGTTATGTGCTTTACTTGCTTCTTTGCAGTATAAAATGGATAAATTAAATAATGTTTAAGGTTACTTCCA